TATGTTTATATATGTATGTATATATGTATAACAAAATAAATTGCTACTTACTACTTGTACTACTATTCTTACTTCGTGGTTTTTCACTTATCGCGGGTTTTCAGGGTACGGATCCCCTGTAATAAACGAGGGACTACTATATATTTATTTTTCTGGTGCTGCCGTAATGACAAGGTGAACATTATTCAAACCTATTTACTTTTTTTTTAATTCTACTTTTTGTTCACATCAACTGGAATTTGTCAGGCCAACGCGCATCTAAGGAACAATGGAATGAGATTTTCAAATATCATCTGAGCACATGGAGGAGAAAGTTTTTTTCTTGTTTTTTATGCATGTGATCGATTGCTGAGTGGTTGTTTATCATGAAAAAACCTTAACTTCTGAACCAGTGCCATGTTCATGATAACCATTTCAGTCTCCCACAAGTCTGATGGACACGTGCATGAAACTCATGGCCACAAAACAACAATCTCATCTGAGCACAGGCGAGACACAGAGGAGGGGGAGCATGAAGACAATGAAAGCACAAGTAACTAATTCATGTGTGATGCTCTTATTGTTTTAATGTTTATGGAGCCATGAGATGTCAACAAAATATGTCAGACTTAGCAGCTTACAGCACACAATATTGATCTAAATGCTGAGAACAGCACAAACCAACCTGATTGTTTGCTTCTGACTTTTATGAAAAAAAAATGTGTCTGTCTCCCACATGCATGAAGGACATGGACACAGCCACAAAACAAGTCCACACCAACACAGAGAAAACAAGCACATACACAAAGAAGGTGAAAAGACTGGTGAATATGTTTGGAGTGGTAGCGATGCCGTTTGAAACTTTAGAAATAGAAACAAGTGGTATTGTGGTAAATGTACAAACCTGCAGCAGATAGAATATCAGTCTAATCCTAATGAACATTTCAGACCCTGATGAGTCTCACAGTCATGTGCATGAGGCTCACAGCCACTCTACAACTTCCCATGGACATGAAGCAGACAAACATACACATGAAAAAGCTAAAAAGACAGGTAAAACTCTACATTGAAGTAATGTATTTTAAATTCTTGTGATGACAGTGATTCTCTGAATACTAAAAAGTTTAAAAAGCACAAATGTATTCACCTATGGATATATTTTAGACCCTCATGTGTCTCACAAACTTGACCATGAAACTCATGGCCACAAATCCACAACTTCACATGGACATGGCGAAGAGCATGCACACAAATCTGAAAGAACAGGTATTATATTTGAAATGTAGAGGTAGCTGTGTTTTTAAACTCTAGAGTAGTTAAATTTACCGCAAATACCTTCTGACAACTAATAAATTAATGGGTATTTCAGATCCACATGAGTCCCACAAACATGTCCATGGGACTCACGGCTACACATCAATAGCCTCACGTGAAGATGAGCACTCACACCAAAAAGTTGAAAGAACAGGTATTTATCGTTTAGATGTAGTGGTATCTATGTGCATTAAATCTATAATGACGAAAATATCAAATAAATAAGTTTACAGAAAAAAACCCTGAAAACTGAATAATTTGTCTTTATAAATCCTAAAAGTTATTTCAGATCCTCACGAGTCCTTCAGACATACACATGAAAGGCACAGTCACAGACCCACAACCTCACATGGACATGGAGAAGACAAGCATACACACAAAGCTGAAAGGACAGGTAACCTGTTTTAGATGTTTTTTTTTCTTGTAACTCTTGTGATGAAACCATGAAGCAGTCTTACTGACAAGAATGATCTCCAGATATGAAGTAAAAAGTGTGGTCAGGTGACGCAGCCTTGTAATCCTGAGGCTGCCGGTTCGAGCTCAGGTTGCGCAGGAAGGGCATCTGACATAACATAATTTCCAAATCTTTCATGCGAGTTTGCTTCAAGTTCAAGTAGGTTTATTGTCATTTCATCACATGTGATACATGAGGTGGAACAAAATTATGTACACAAGTTCCCAGTTACATCCAACAATAGCAAAAATATGAAGTGTAAAAAGAAACGGTAAATAAGGATCTAAGACATACATTAAATGAACACCAAACGATACACTAAAAGATCTAAGATATACGCTAAATACTAATTATGCAAAACAATACATTGCAACAACAGCAGGACTTGCTTGCTGTGGCCAAAAGTGCAACTTTGGTAGCAATACATAATACAGCTCAGTGCATACCTGGTACCTACAGGGTCGACATTGGGTACTTACAGGGAACATATGTGGACATGGTTGTATTATGAGGTGACATTACCTTGTATTAACAAGGTAGCCTACATACCAGTATCTAGAAGACACATACCTGGTACTGACTGAGTGCCTACCTGGAATTTATAAGGTCCCTACTGGGTATATCTTTTAGAACATCCTGGGTAGGTACTTGGTATAAGGTATGTACCTGGAATGTATGAGATCCCTGGTGCTTACTAATAATAGTATGTATCTGGTGTTTACCAGGTACATACATAGGAACATACCAGGTACAAATCTGATGCCTATGGGATATGTGTCTGTACTTTCAAGGTGCACACAATGAAATGTACCTGATAGCTGTAGGTACATACCGGTAGATGCACACCTGTAGGTATCACGTATACGTCTGATAATTAACCAGCTGTTTTATGTACTGCTTTCTGACTATTTACCATGAACATTATGACAAACATTAATTTCAGATCCTCATGAGACCCACAGACACACACACGAGACACACAACCACATATCAACAGCCTCACATGGACATGGAGAAGACAAGCATACACAGCAAAACGTTGGAAGAACAGGTATTTTTCTTTTAGTTTTAGTCGTAGCTATGTTTTTAAAGTTTAACAGTACTACCATCATCAAATAGATGAATTTACGGAGAAAACCCTGAAAACTGAAGCATTTGTGTTGTTGTAGACCTAAAAGTTATTTCAGGTGCTCACGATTCCTTCAGACTTACACACGAGAGTCCCAGTCACGGATCCACAGCCTCACATGGACATGAAGGAGCTGAGCAGACACACAAATCTGAAAGGACAGGTAAACATTTTTAGATTTTGTTATGTTAGTGATAGAAATATGCAGTAGACAAAACTTACAAAAAATCACCTCCAAGTGTATAGTACAAATTATATTTTTTGTTTAAAAAACATTGTTTATACTTATACAAAATAAATCTAGGTATGTACAGAGTACTTGTAAGATACCATTGGGGGAACCAGGTTGGATTATTAGGTAACTTGTTATACACAGACAGAGTTCATACCCAGTACATACCTTATACTTACATGAAGCATATGTGATACTTACCAAGACTGTATCTTGGAATACAACAGGTGCTACCTGGTACTGGTACTTATTGGGATATGTACCCGATCCCCAGGAAAGGTTCTTGGTACTTACTGGGTACATGCCTCATACTTATCCTGGTGCCAGGTACATTTTCAGAAAGTACTTGGCAGTATTTTGCATTGCATCTTTTTTTTTTTTTCAGATCAGCATCATTTTAAAAATACAATAATAATAATAATTATTATTATTATTATTATTAAAAATATTAGTAGTAGTATAGATAGAGCTTTCATGGTATCGGTAATGCCAAAACCACACAGGTCACATGGACATGTACATTTTACCCATAACCTCAAATCAATAACGTTCTCTAAGCATAAAACAGAAAAGAATGGTGAAGGTTTGACTTTTATTACTTTTCAATTTGTAAATATCCCCAAACATGCAGTACTGTATATTTTATCCACATGAGAGAAACAAGACATTTCTAATTATCTTGTGACATACCAGCTCTACATGTGTCTGAAGAAAACAAACATGGCCACAAACACACATCATCTGAAAGTGAGGGGCATAGGGAAGGTAAGACGAAAGAAATCCGTTTTATATGCTTATTTTTTATGCAAAATAAACTTTTGCACATGCTGATTATGTTTTTTAAGTCTTTCATTTTTTAGAGGAACACACACACAACTCTCATGGCCACAGAATAAGACACGGGGAGGAGGAGGAAGTTGACCATAGACACATAAAAGCAGAAACTGGAGGTATTTTGTTGTGTAATAATCTTAGTGTGCCAGTGGATTTACAGCAGCTGTAGACTAGATTACTTGTGTTGCAGTAAACGCACAGTAGATGTACTTTACCATGAATTAAGTTAGGCAGCTTGAAGTGGAAGGGTCTAATACACCTAAACACACATCTTTGGAGCTAAACAATTGCCTGTCGTTCGGCATAAACCATAATGTTAAATCTACATCTTGTACCAAGCAATACTTTTTTCTTTATTTGAAACATTAAGGGATGCTAAAGGAAAGAAAAATAAATGGCATAAACAGTTAAGTAAAAGGATGGGTTGTCTACAACTGGAAAAAACTAATTTGTGCTGCAAATACTTAAAATAAAAAGCTGTGTTTGAAATAACAGAAATGTTGGTAATAATTGTTTTAAATATAGTATATTTTCTTTCAATTACCCTCATGTCTCATTGGGTAATTATAGCTCTAGTGTGAGTTCTGTCCTGTATTTTATAGTAATATTAAAATGAGCTGACACTGGATTTTCTAGTTGCGCTTTTTGCTCCTTAGTTTAATAAAACAGCCTCACACAATCCATATTGCATCAATATAAATAGATTTTTGAGTTGTGGCTCATTTGTAGCACATCGAATCACTGAAAAACCTGGGAGAGAAGGAGGGGGTCATGGGAACGCAAAACATTCTTTCAGGAAAGAGGAAGAAGACCAACAGGAAAAAGAAAAAAGGAATAAAAAAGGTATATTTTGAGTGTGATATAGCTCAGTGTTTCATAACTGGTTGCAAAAATTTGAGATTTAAATCCGTTAGTTTGAGTTTTGCTTGTTCCAGTACATCCTGTGGATGTTTGAATTGGGTTGCCAGTTTATCTCATTCCTCTAATTGTTTTTGAAGTGAGGTTTAAGCCTGGTTTATACTCCATGAGAAGTAAGAAGTTGTGTCTCGCTGACGTGGGTGTGTGACAAAATGTGTATTGTTCTTCTCATGTCCACCGCTGAAACTCTGTCTTGTGCTTAGCCCCCTGTCATTCTTCACATGGTATCATACTTTCCTAATGATTTTAACAATCATCTTTTTAAACATATAAATTGTTTTAGAAATTTTTATGATGATATCGAGGCAATTCCACAATCGTATTCCCTGAATTACAACGCAGCTCCTTCAGACTAGTTCAAAATTGAGGTTTTACAAACATTTCTATTCCCTTAAGGTTATAATGACTCCCTTTTTTAACAAATTTTAATTGAATATTTGGGAGTGATTTTTTTTATGAGCTTTAAACATGACTTGTAAAATACTATATTCAACAAAATCATAAAAAAATTAATAATTTCAAATGATGAAATAATGTATTTGTTGGGTGACCACAGCCCTTCCTACTAATAATTCTTATAGCTCTTTTTTGTTAAATGAAAATAGGATTTGTAATTGTTTTGCTGATTTTCCCCAAACTTCAATACAATAAATTAAATATGGAGCAATCATTACATTGTACAATATATACAAAGCTTTGTCATTCAAAAACTCTTTTACTTTATACAGTAACGCAATTTATTTTGCTATTTTTATTCTTAAGTAATTTACATGAGATTTCCATGTCAGCTTCCCATCAATAACAACACCCCAAAAAAATTATTTCATTAACTCTATGAAGTTCAATATTATCAATTTTAAACAGGACTTTGATCATTTTCTTTCATTATTAAATATCATATAGTTTGATTTTTCCAAATTTAATGATAACTTATTAAGTTGGAACCAAGTTTGTATTTTTACGAATTCTGCCTGTATCATCTAACAATATCTCAATATCTTCACCCAAACAAAAAAATGTGGTATCATCTGCAAATAAAACACATTTCAAAAGCCCTGTCACATCAACCAGATCATTCACATACAAAATAAACAGCTTTGGTCCCAACACAGAGCCCTGAGGAACTCCACATCCAATAACACAAAATTCACATCTTACATCGTTTACCTGTACAAACTGTCTCCTATTATTCAAACAACTGGATACCCACTGTAGTACTAATCCTCTAATGCCATATTTATTCAGTTTTTCAAGGAGAATGGTGTGGTCAGTGTATTTTCTTGAGAAATACCAGATTTTTCTCCATCATTTGAAAATAAACATCCACTCTGCCGTACTGTGTTGTTGCTGTTTGCGTGTGATGTGAGCTGCAGAGGGGCAGCTTACCAGGGCTTTTCCCCTGCAGTTTATCTATGAGTATGAATTGTCCAAATGGAAAAAGACAATCACGTCACTGAGATCCGATGTCTTACGTCTTGTCAAGTATAACCAGGTCTTTACTCTTCTACTCAGGATAACAGCTGCAGTAGTTTCTACACAAACAAGACTTTTATTTAAAATCTTGAGTGACCAATGAAGTCCAACCAGTTAAGAAACACTGCATGAATAGAAGCATTTGTCAGCTTATAGAATAAAACAAGCTTTCATTAGGGAATCTGTACCAGTTCATCTCTTAAACCCCTCCATAGCAATGACCCTGTCCTCTAGATGTAGATGTAAGGTGCTGTAGGAGATTGCACGGAAAATTGCAATGAGACAAACCTTAAACAATGATTCATTCATCCCTTAAGGACTTCTGAAACTTCTGAACTCAGGAGAGCTTGAAGTCAAACAGTTATTAGGGGTCATATACGGCAATTTCAAAGGTAAGAGACGTGTGGTTGAAAGTATCAAACTGCGTTGTTTAAGGCTTATGAAACTCTTTGAATGTCTTTTTTTTTCTAAACTCTGAATGGTGTTCTTGTAGTAGACAATTTGTGGAACAATTCCTCCCATCATGTGTTTTTCATTTCTTCATTTTGATCATTCTTTCCCCTGCAACACTCGCATGGTTGTGTTTGCTTTTTGATTAAGGTAAGTTTATTCTCTAAACATTTGTGTTAAACCAAGTCATTTGTATTGATGTTTAGTAACTGTTGACCATTTTCTCTTTTCTCCTGTTATCTGTCTTTTACTGTTTATAACTCACAATTGATCTGTCCTGATAAAGCAGCATCTTGACTCATAACACAAATTTGTGGAACAATGTCCCATTGCCTTTGTAGTCTGTGAAGTAATGCTCCATTTATATTTAATTAGGCAGGTCTCCCCCCACAGTTAGCATGGCTCCTTTTGTGCTGAGAGAGGCACTTTATGATTTTCCTCTTGTTGGCTTCCTTTAAACCAGCTTATTAATATTTCAGCTGGCATCATCAGCCGAACAATAATAAAATAATAATGTGATGGCTGATTAAACAGCTAAACTCCAGCTTTTAAATGTGGATTTAAACATGTATTTGTATAAACTTGCCTGGTAAAAGCCTCTTTAGAGGACAGTGATGCCTTGCAGCAGACAATTGCAGCCAACTTCTAAAGCTTAATAAAACCTTAATTAGGAGCCGGCCTCAACTGAGATAATTGTGAAGGGTGTGGAGCAACACCGCTCTACGTATCGCTGCACCCCCCTCTGCACAATACAGATGTTGCATTAGTTAATATAAGCCTTTAATTACTCTCTCTGAGGAGTATTTATTCAAATTATTACACCATTTTTTTTAAGTTTAGGGTTTAAAATACAGGAAAACAAAATCATATTTATCACACACAGAAAGGGAAAGTGCAATGTGATTATTTTGAAATAATTTACAAATTACAAATAAACAACCTAATTAGGAGGTCTGACTGTGCAACACTATGAAAATAAAACCCCAACAATGA